ATACTACAGTATGTTTACCAAATTTTCCACTATCGACAGGAAAAAAAAGTGTATCTACTTAAATAGCTTTTAAGTAAAATCTTCTCTGTAAAAATTCTGCTTAAATATTTGAAGTCAATATACTTGGTTTTGCTATAGTTATCTGAATGAGCAAATATAATACTAATGTTGCATTTTTGCAAATAGTGTTTTAAGTATTCATTTCTGTCCTTCTTGATACTTATTTTTCAAAGAATTAATTCAAATAATGGTACAGTCTCTACATAACACCTTAAATTACTTCAATTACTATAAATTTGTATCATTTGGTTTATACAAATACAGGTTTATTTTTACAGGATATAATATTAGAGAAAAGCCTAATACTTGCTTTAATTTTGCCAATACAATAGAACACTCATTTACTCATCTACTCTATGTCTTTCTTCTATTTGAAATCCTGACACAAAATATAATATACCTTGAAAAAAAGCTTGCTTTTTTAGAAGATGAGGAGTATGTGTGGTTGAATGATTTCATTCCACATGCCTACAAGCTGATCTTTGATCAAATTAAGGTGAGAAACACAACTTTATTTGTAAAGGGGGGATGTAGGCAAATAAATCCTTAGCTCAGAAAATAAGCTCATACTGAAGTTAAAAGTTCATGTTGAATCAAGGGAGGTAGAAAAGATCATTTCAGTCAAGGATAAAAACAAAAAACATTAAACAATTCAGATTGGAACAGTGAGCATTTTTTTTCATAAACAGAAAAATCTAAGGAAACATACCATGTAGGTGAAATTTGGTAAAGCCTTCTAAAAAAAGTTTTTTAAAAAAAAGTCTAGTCTGATTATGTCATCATTTACAATTTTGAAAATAGCATCTAAAGTTATGGAACCTAAACTTTCAGCAGACTGATTTTTTATTAAATGACTTTCCACCTTTTTGCCTACTCATTTTAGACTGAAATATTACAGATTTACAAATGGAGAAGTAGAGAAGAAACGTTAAGGACTGGTTTCCTGTACCCTTTACTTTTTAATCTTACTTTACAGTGACAAGTATAACAACCAAATTATGAAATATGAAAGATAAAAATTCCTTTCAAATCATCCAATTACACCTAGTGCTATTATTGACATTTAATGAAGCTATCTGTACAATAATTCCAGAATCTTCAAAGGCAGCTTATTTAAGAGCAATTATGATGATTGCATCATTTTATCAAATGTACACAATTTCTGCAACTTTCCTTTTGCACTCCCAAATGAAAATCCAAATTTGTACAAAAACGAAGAACAATAGGTGAAGGGCATTTAAGAAAAGAGACTTCATCAGTTGTGGCAGTCATAGCACTAAACATTATCAATTTCTGCACTTAGGAAACATTATTAGCAAAAACTGAAACCAGGACAAAAAAAGAATCTAAGAATCACATTTTTGAACTAGACTTTTGAAGTAGACTTTTTAAGACCAGAGTAAATGAAACACAGGGCATCTCTGAAGGTGTACACAAGGTTTTACTCGAGATGCAATCTCAGAACAGATCTAGAAACAAAACTTTTGTATTTATGCACTTGCATCTACAAGCTGAAGATCACTAGCCATCTGAATCATTGACTAAGCCAGTTATTTTAGTATGCTTCCTCACATTAGAGTTGAATATCAATCGTTATGCAAACTAAGGAGATCCAAAGATTAGGCAGGGTAATTGGGTATGTCTTAATAATACATGTCAGAAAGTACATTTATGCTTACCATGGGTTTGAAAAAGAGCAGAAGAGAAAAATCCTGTACAGTTCATCGGGAGAAATAAAAACTGCACTTTCAGAACACTTTAACTAAAATAAAGGCAATGAAATTTTCTCACGTCTAGAACACACATGTAACATGGTTTTAACTAGGACAGATTTAATTTTCTTCATTGAATCTAGTATGGTGTTGTGTTTTGCATTGTGCTTGGATTCTTGATGAAATTAGTAGTGATAATTAGCAACTTGTTGCAGAGCAGTGCTCACACAGAACCAAGAACCTTCTTCTCAGTCAGATCTCCCAGTAAAAAGGATGGGGTGCACAAGCAGCTGGGTGTGGACATAGCCAGGACAACTGACCCAAATGGACCAAAGGAATATACCATATCATATGATGCCATGCTCAAAATTTTTAGCGCAGAATTTCTTCCAGCATTCTTGTGTGTGCACTGTTTTGTGCATGTGTACATGTTTCTTCTCTTTCCAGAAAATGTAGTGATCTCATGAAAGATACGATCACTTCACTGAAGACTGCATTGTAAGGAAACAACTGGCTTACATTTCAGCACATGCTGACCACAATATTCTGAATAAAGCAGAGATGTTGCTATGGACTAAGAGCTGTTTCACTGACAAATACCAGAACATGCTATAAAACAAAATTCGAATAAGTCTTTTCTAATTATGAAGACAAGGGTAATAGAGACAAATATCATATCATGGTCTCAATTCTAGTCATATCATCCACACCTCAAGCAAAGCACCTGGTAGGTAGAAAAATTAACTTTTGTAGCTGGTGGCTCTAATACGATCAGTTTGTGTCACTATCATATTCTTTATTTTGCATGTATAAATAAAACTCCATCTTAATTTCTAATTACACCATAGTTATGATGGGATTTCCAAACAGTCTCAGAAACTAGCAACTTCAAAATACTGATTGAGAAATCTCAAGCCACTTCTTTGTGATATTAAATGTTACATATTAGTGAAGCTCAGTATACAGAGAAGAATAAAGAATAAAGTTTCCATGCTCAAGTCCATGTGACAAATTTGCAGGCTGAATATGTATGTTTGGTACTACATATCAGAACTCCAGATTAGTAATAACGGCATCTCCATTTTTGTGAGGAAAGATGTTTATGTTTAATTTCAAAAAGTAAAATAAAAGAAAATGGCTTAAAGCATTTTCAGTCATAAAGTTACAGTGACACAAAAGCAAGGATATCAGTCAAACTACCTTCATCTTCAGACCTATCAACAGTCTTCCATACCTATGAGTAAATGTGTTAGCAAATGTTATCCATTTTATTTTCAAAACACATGAGGTCTGTATCCATTCCAATTCTATCCAAAGTCAAAGAAACTTAGATACTGAACTGCTACCTCTGCGCTTGAAAAACCCCATTCTTCTTTAATATTCATTCTATCAAGCCACTTCCACTTAATGTCAACAGGAACTGATAAAAAAAAGATGTGACTGATTCTGTCGATTCTAATGCATTTCTCAATTCTAAATAAATTTGCCAGTTTGTTGATTATAAGATGACTAGAGGAACTAAAAAATGTGCCTAGTTATCTATTGTGACTTCTATACTGAGATTTTCAATTGGAGACGGTCATTTGTATCTTTAAAAAATGTGAACGTAGATGTGAAATTCACTGCCTCCCTCCTTAGAGTAATTAACTGAGGCATGCATCCTACAAAGATGTTTATAACAAGGCCTTTCACTGTGTAAAATTTGTCTTGCTATCAGGCATTGTTTAAATAAATATCTAAACCGAATGCATATTTTTACCCATCGTTTGCAAACTACTAGAAAGAGAAATTGCTTTTTCCTGTGCTAATTTTTAAGACCATATGCTACCAGAAGTAGAATGAGCATTGAGTAAGATTTTACAAATCATCCGATGTGAGGAAAACATCTAGACTGTAAACCTTGGATGACAACCCTGAAATTCTATACTGTACTCATTTATTTGGCTTCGGAAAGATTTTAAAACAGCCCGTGGCTTACTAGCAAATAAAACACCTGACACTGACAATCCTAGCTTAAACAGATGTTCTGCAGATGCAAACGAAGATTTAGAACGTTTTTCTGGACAAGCAGCCTGAAAATTACTCTCACACAGATGATAAGTATCAGTACAAAGCATACAGTTGCAATCCTTGTATTTTTGTGTAACAGATAATGAAAAACCATCTGTCCATTGTAGTAATTTGCCAAGAAAGCCAGTATAGCATACCATTTTACTTTCTGTATTTAAAATAACTTAGTAATAAACAATATTTCTCATCTGCTTTAATTTTGTTTGCACACACTGAACACAAAATTCACCATGTTCTTATATTAAAGTTACTCATTTATACAACAAGTAATTGGACCATGCAAACACAACTGGACTTCTCTTTTGTATTTCAGTAATAAAAAGAACACTGAAGTGAAAATAAGCGTCATCACTTCATTGCACAGGAATTCCTCTATTTCAGCATTTGAGGAAGTCTGCACTTAAATACCAAGGCAGAAAAAGTGTTATCTAGAGAAATATTTTTGAGGTTAACTTAAAAAACAAACACACGTACAAGACACTAATATTCAGCTGTCATTTTGAATATCCAAATCTTCAGAAAACTATGACTTTGAATTCTTACTTGCATAGTATTCAACAGTTAATGTTCAGGTTTTTGAGGTATTACGTATGCATTACTTTAAATGATTCACCTATTTGGACAGCTTTTAACTAAAAAGAAAGAAACAAAACAATTGTGACAGCTTGGTGATTTTACAGCCTTTCTGAACAACATCTAGCATTATCAATATCCATTCTACTCTAAATTATCTTTACAGTGTCAAAAGCCAATGTACACTAAGATACAGATTGTATTATTTTGACCTCAACAAACAATATCAAGAATAGGTTTACAACTAAAACTCATGTAATAAAATATTTTATTTCAAGTAACCACATTTTAACATCAAAACAATCACATGATAATTAAAAGCACACAGCTGCATAGTGCTCTGCTATATTATGCAAAGGAACATATCAAAGATCATCTCAGACTCAAAGTAACAGGCATATAATATATTTGCAGAATGCTTTCTTATAGTGTGTATCATAACAATAAAGGACATTTTATACTGAATTTTTCTTTTCATATTGTTGAGAGAAAGGATATGAATGATTCTCAGTTTCTTAATTTAAATTAGCTCAAAACTAAGACTAATTTAAAATTCACCACACAAAATAACTAAATATGGCCCACCTTTTTATCAGACTTCACAGAATACACTTGGTTTCCAGAAGGTAAGATGAAATCCCAGAACAGCTTCAGTCCTTCTTTTCAGCCAAACAAAGAAATGCCACTGCTTGTGCTAATGCTTCTGTGTGGAAAGCAAATTTGAAATTTTAATTTCTAAATTAATCTGACAGATCTTCCCAAGTCTAATTCTATAACATGGAACCAGAGTTAAATCTGTAAACCTTCCAAGATGCATGTCCACTTTATTAGTGTTGAAGCATGAGGTGTCCTTCATGCCACAGGAGTACTTGGCTTAATCTATTTGCACTGAACTTCAGATTATGCATTCTATATTTGTTTCACAGATTAAAATTAAACAACATTATATATTATGCCCTGAAAAAAAACAAAGCTAGAATGGTATTGCAATATATTACAAGTCAACAACTGCTTAACACAGATTACTGTAGTTCTACTCTGAAAGAACTAACATACAGGTTTAACTTTTGACATATGAATAGTTTCAATTAAATACGTGAAGAGACTCATGAATTTATGGCTAAAAATATTTAGCAAGAGCCATTGGTTTATAATTAAAAAAAAACACAGGTTAATGAAAATATTTATAGCAAAATACTGCAGAAATGAAATGTAATTTTAAATTCATAACATAATATTTTCCTGTAGAACACCATATTTTGCAGTATCCCAAGGCTAGCATTTGTTGTGTTTAAGTTTTAATTCTCTAACCATTATTTTGCACTTACATGAAATTTTGATTATACAGTGTAACAAGATAAGTTCTCTCACCAGCCTCAGAACAATTCTCTAAATAAATGAGTGAGATATTTGCTTTCTTCCAAAACTAAGCTTATGGTCTTCCTTCAAATATTTTCATTTTGAGTTGGAAGCTGCTGATAGGTAATTGGGAATAAAGTGACACTACCCAAATGCTTGGCAGGATGAATTTTTTATCCATTTGATGAATGAAGGCAGCTGTGTTGTTCACCTATAGTTTTTCCCATTCAAAGGATAATCTACAGTTTGTGTTTTAATTGCTACTGACCAAAAATATAGCAGGCAAGTATGCTCCATGAGCCATTTTTCTTTTCTTTTACTGGAAATTCTCTGAGCCATTTTTGTAAAAATATTTCATGTTTGGCTTGTTCCTCAAGGGCTAAAAACCTTTTCTATTTGCTAAGCTTCAAGACCAATTAAATGGCAAAGTATAAGTCATAGAAATATGATTTTGTCCTATTTCATTTTCTTCCCCTTGAATTTTCAAAATCTGCTGAAGGGTTTACCAATCCATCATTTTGCATCCTTATAACCAAAGTAATACTGCTGTCGTGTCCAATATATATAGCATATATTACATGGAACAAAAAAACACTAATACATACGTTACAAGGAGTTGTGTTACTAAGAAGCTTAAATGGACCCTACAGGAATTATGCTATTGAAATAGAAATTTCACTCGTGAATTCTAGCTTCTGCCCCTTGAACATGTTTTTCATTCTATTTTCTAGGACTGAATATTGTTTCAAAGGCTCTTAACCTACATGATGTATGTAATCCAAAGTCTCTGTAGTTCATTCCCTAATGCTTGCACACCGCAGATGTTGATTAGAAGAAATTTCTTTTTCTCTCCTGTGTCTACAGAGAAGTGGCACTGATTTGAGACTTGCACTTTTTTATTTTAACATGAATCAGTAAATAGAGCCTTAAAATATTTTAAAAGAATTTATAAAATCAAGAATGAGGTGAGACTTTAATGGAGGTCAGCACAGCCATTACTGCTCACATACACTCCCAGTTTCCTTTATAAATTGATGTTGCCATTGGGTTATTCCAGGAGCATTTGTGCTGACGTGAAAATACAAAGAACAACTCTTTATACTTCTTAGTTTTCTGCGTGAAACATTTTCACACAGATTAGTACTCCTTCTATCCCTACAGTTAAACCTGCTGAGGTAAACCTGTTTGCTCATGGTAAGTCACAGAACTAGATTAGCACTAGCAATATTATTCAAACTAACTTATATACAAATTGTCAGTTACATTACTTACATTTATACATTTAAAATTAGAAGAAAATTGTCAATTTCACAGAAAATTGCTGAAAATGATATAGAGAAGCTAATATTGACTCTAAAAGACAGTAGTTGCGAAAAGGTCATTTGGAGACATTCATTAATTGTTTATTTTAACAGACAGTCATTATTCCAGGCAGCTCAAATTGGCAAAAATCACTATAATTGTCAGAAAGCATTAAAGAACTGTCGCTTGTCAATATGTACTCTTCTAAAAAGAAGCAGCTTGAGAGAATCCCATTTTTTAAGTTAAATGGAAAAAAGAAGCATGAATACCCTAATGTGTTTTTTTGCTGTCTAGAACTAACCTACACGAACAGCCGTCATTCATTAAACTGTAAAGATTTGTAACAATTAAAATGAATAGCAGTGTTCAAAAACTTTTTTTTAAGAATGAAAAAAAAGCAACATAGGCATCAGCACATGAAAGCAAGGAGATGCAATGCCAGGGGCTACAGGAATAGAAAGTCCCTTTTTTCAGGCCTTCTCCAATCTCCCATTGCTACCCAGAGAGAAAACATATATGATAGTACAGGTCCTTCATTCCAAACTCTTCCCGTCAGCTTGGAAAATAAATGAGTGCTGTTGTACAATTATGTGCCTCCGAAGTCTGAGAAAAGCTCATATTATTCTGTGTCTCAAGGAAGTGGATGGGAATGCATTAGAAGATGCATTAATTACTCCTGACTTTTCTCTCCATAAGTAACTGCACAGACATCACAATCTCAAAGGTTTACAGCTCCGAGCATTCATGTCTCAAAATCTTCCTAGACTCACTGCCTCAAACATCACTGGCCCCTCCCTAAGCCCCCAGAATATTACTGATTCAGCTCATGCTTTTGCTCATTTCACTGAATGGTGAATATTCACTGAAGATGAATATCCAGCATTTACTACTAGGAAGCCTTGAACAACCTCACTGAAAGTAATGACTTCACACTGAGATATAAAGAAAACCTAAAATCCTTCAATTCCAGAGCTTGCACAAAATACATTAGAAATGATAGTCCCAGATTTGTATATTAAACTCAATACATTTGTTCAATGAAATCATACATTTTTCCTTCTCAAAAGAAAATAATCAACATGCATTGATTGCAGTAGAAAAAAAGGAATCTGTGCTCTTAAACACAGGCATGTAAATACTACGAATGCTGAACCTTAGACTCTTTAAAGACTCATTATTCTAAGAAAAGAATGAGCAGAAGGATGTTATCCTAAACTTCAACTTACATAATTCTGCTTTGAGTTTGTCCAGGTTAAAGTGTCTTTTTTTTTTTAAAAAAAAAAAAAAAAAAAAAACCTTTTAAAACTTTTTTTTTTTTTTTTTTTAAAAAAAAGAAAACTTCCCATCTATTAGTTGGAGACACTAAATGCTAGTTCTGTTTCTAAACATAGGTCAATAATTGTCACAAAAACAATTACTATTTAAATGAATTTATATGAGTTTTCTACACTTTGTCTATGGGAAAACTTACACTAAGATTCAGTATCCTGTTTTTGTTCTAAATATATGACCAAATTCTAATCACAGCAGAATTCATTTGAGACTTGGAAGGTGGAAGGAAAGTACAAATGAAAGTTTCATTGCTCTGTAATTTTCCTTTAAGGCATTCCAATAATAGAATTAATGTACAATTTTTAGTGCTGTCAAGTTACATTAAAAGCATTATTAAGCCCTTCCCGAATCTACATTCTAATAAATGTCAAGTCTTTCATTTATTAGATGTTTAAATATTTGCACTAAGGCTTTAATAATGAGAGTATACCTTGCAGATTTGTGTGCTGTTGCACTATTAAAGTGAGATAAATCACTTGAGACTGTTATTCTAAGAGTATTAATAAAATGGTTTTTCTTATCAGATCTTAATAACACCTTCTTTTTAACATGGCCACAATTGCACTAATAATTAAGAATTATTATTTAATAACTTTGAGCATGCACAGGAGCACCATCAATCTTCTGAAAACACTGTAAGAGCCTGGTATTAAGCCTTTTAACTACAGTTATCTAACAACAGGTATCCTAGGAATGCTTCATCCTCCAAATGCTTCCTCCACCTCTGGCTATCAAAATCTATTTAATGTAACTCTCTATGTTTACTTCTCAGCAGCATGTCATCTTTCCACATGGCTACAGGGAAGGAAGCTTTTAACATTTGTAATGGTATCAGCAGTAACACATATTCAAAGATTTTACTAGAAATTAATCCCTCTATCAGGCGTTCAGAGTACTTGGTACAAGTAAAACATCACCCATAAAATCCCACAGAAAAATTTGCCCTTCATTCCTAAATATATTTCTGCCTCCTCAGGTAGGTCATGTGCAGCTCAGCCTCAGAGCAAAGTTTCGCTAGCTATACCTGAAAAATCAAAAGATTTCTTATCAACTCAACTTCTTCCTTTGTCACTGTCAGTATATAAAATTAAATAAAGAGCTTTCAAGAGTCACAGGACAATCAGAAAAGCACTCAAAAGCTTATACTCTACCTTTATTTTCATCTCTGCCTCTGACACAGAAGAGATAAAAAGAAGATGGATGAGATGATTGAAGAAAAAATGAAGATGACAACACTTATGATTTATGGGATATTTTGTTCACTGTCTAGTTCTACACTGCCAGAAGGAGTGCCATGAATGTATTTATTTTCTGAACTGCAGAAGAAAACGAGCAAAATTATTGTATTTTCTCCTTCTGTCGGGGTTTTATGACTTTTGTTATTGGTATTCCACACCATAATATCAGATAGTGCACTGGATGTTAAAGAGTTAATGCTCCAGTTCTGTGGACTGTCCATAGTCCTGTGGTACAGGCACCTGTTATTAGAACAGAAAGAAAGAACTACAGTTCCCAAAAGACTTCATTACTCCATTTCTGTTTTCTATTCAGAGGGAAAGATAAAACTGTTTGGTAGACATGAGATTTCCCTTTTCCTTTCTGCTCATCTCTGCAGTGCATGCTCCCTAGCCATCTTACCTTCAGCATTACAGTAAGACCTTTGATTTTTTTGCACACACATTTCATTTGTTTTATTAGCTTCAACTCCAA